ATGTGGACAAGTCCATTGCTCTCAAGACTACAGGGGTATACATCACAAGAACATTAAAAATGTTCATATCCTTTGCCATAGTGGTATGTTGCTATGACCAGCAATCCTACTTCTGGAAACATACTGCATTGGCTCTTTTTGTTTACCCAGCTCCCTCCCTCTTCCATTAACAATAACCTCCTTCTTTGTGGGGTACTGTGTCTCCCCACAGTCCCATCTTATGGGTCTCATCGCATAACTCTCCCTTGGTGGGCATCAGGCCAATCTGGATTCTCTCCAAGGTTCTCCCAAATTGGAACTAAGATCAAAAAGGCAGTTTCTTGCTGTGAGGTTTACATTTCCTCAAAAGCACGTGTACTATAGGATCCTATTTTTGCATGAGTATATACATAAATACACCCAAAAGTCACAGCCGAGCATTTCTTAGAGACTTCTCCACCCTCCAGCCCCCACCTCCCACCCACAGAGGTAACAAGCAGCTGTTCATGATAGGTGTGTAGCCCTAGGTGTGCTGGGGTGGAGCAGAGAAGGGGCTGAGTCACTGTGGCTCTAGGCTATGTGGCTGTACTTACTGCGTTCACATCTATCCACAACTGCAGATAGAAGATTTTTACTAACAAATTCCTTCAAGTTAGTGGCAAAATCTGTGCTAAAATCCAGGGACTATGTCATCCCTCTGTAACATTTTTCTGGTCCTTGACATGCCTATGAAGCTCTTCTTTCCAGAACATTCTTCTTTATCACACACATCTGCAAGAGCCCCTAAAGACAACACCTAGCCTAGAAGAGCAACCTCCATCAGCAACAAAGCCAAACCAAACCAAGAGAACCCCTTTCACTCTCCACAAGATAATGTTTCCTGAAAGCCTTCTTTATCAAAAGTCCTCTATCATTCAAAATCCATTCTTATAAGAAAAAAACCAACAGCCATTCTTGCACCTTGCTGCTCTCATCCCTTTCTGGTACACTGATAACAAAGTCTCCTACCTTCATTAGCAAATACTGTTTCATGATGCTCCCTTCTCCTCTCAACCATGCAAATGGCAACAATTTCAGACTCATCCCACACCTCCTTCCCAGTAATGGGAACCTATCAATGAGTTCTGATTGATATATGCTTTCTGAGGTTTCAACTCCACTGTCTAATATTTTGGAAAGACATTCCTCTGAGAACAAGTTTAAAAAGCTGAAGATACACAAGCTGCTCAGACATACAAGAGCTAGCATGTAATCTCATTTCAGAACCTGTTAAAGATATCCATACCAGCTTCCAGATGAACATCAAGCTGCAGAGTGCTCCTAACTAGACAAGCAGGACACAGTACAAACATTTAGAGACACAGTGAAAATGGGTCACCTGTAATCTACTACTTCTTTACCGTTAAACCAATAGCATAAGGGAAGGATTTATTTAGCACACAAAGTGCTGCAAAATCAGACTCATCCAGTCATCAGTAGAAAAAGCCCAAGAATGATGGCACCAGAAAAGGAATATTCATCTAGGTTTTGTAATGAGGCTAAGAGATACCAACATGAAAGGCAAATGCTATGTTCATTTATTATTTTTAAAAAGAGGTACAGATTTGAGAAGTGATTTCCTTAAGAATGCTGTCTGGGTTACCAGTCTGGATTATAAATCACATTAGATCTTGAAGCCTACTTAATAAAAAGAAGTTGAAAACAAACAAATAATTAGTTTGAGGTATGTGACTTTCTGATACTCTCTTGGGGAGAAAGTTTTATTACCATTATTAGTGAACTGTTTTTAATCCCTGAAATCAAAGCACAGATATTAACCCTGGGGTTCTCAAACCAAAATAACTTATAAATAAAATACTGTGAGAAATTACCACATATTAACATTAGTCTGTATGTCAGGTTTCAGCCAATGCACAAGTGACTCCATGGACAAAGAGAGGTATGGAGAAGGGAATAGGGAGAATCAGAAGATATAGGTTCAAGTTCAACTCTGCTATTTATGGATGACACTGGCCTAACTTATCTAACATCCCAGGCCTCGGTTAGGGTTCAGGGATAAAACATGCAAGTAAAACTGTCTATAAACCCCATAGCACTGTTCTAATATTACAGCACTGGCCCCAGATTTCCTACATTTCTCAAACTCCTGGAGAATCACAGAACTTTAGGGTTGCAAGACAATCCCATTTTAGGGATGATAAGGATGAGAAAACCAAGGCCCAGAAAGGCTTAAGAGCCTGGGGTCCTAGTTTTTCCACTGAAATATGCATTTCAAAACAAAGCTATTCTAGGGACTAAAACCCCATCTCTCCCCTTCGCAAAAACATATAAGCACGGTGCTTTATTTTGCTTCTGTAAATGTATTACTGTAACTTAGAAGTTAAACTAAACTTTTTATCAGAAAGATAAAAATAAAGCCATTTTTTTTATCTATAAGACTCTCAACCCTATTCTCAACCCAAGGGAGACAAAATCTTCACAACTGGGTTAGAAATGTGTAACGGAAACATCAACATATCTACCATTATTAACCTCCACCTATGCTGGCAGGAGTCATTATAATATGGATTACAGCTCTACTAGCACAGGATACTGGTTTTAATGTTCTCAGGAAGATAAAGAATTAACAGCCAACTCAGAAGAGAATGTTGCCTAAAAATGGACAATTTAATCAAGACAATGCCATTGTCTCTAAAATTCTGCCCTCAATCACCCAGTATCAAAAACCTACTATGGCACCAAATAAATTGTGTGTGGTTAAAAAGACAAAATGTTCTTTTTTCTACAGGCTGTTATGGGAAGCACAAAAAGGCTAACTATGAATAGTTACATTTTAGCTCCACTATGGACATAAATTATGATAATTTGGACATTCTGGTGGTTAAACCAAGAAAGCAGGAAAATCATTGCTTCCAAGTTCCAGCAAAACTTGGAAACAAAAAAGCTTGGTGCCAAAAAGTTAAATTTGTGGCACCACAATTGCAAGACAGGGTCATGAAAAGTGGCCTTAAATTTATTTCTGGGCTTTCCTGCCTCCACTAAAAGAAGTGACATTATTTCCCATCCCGTATTGTCAAATCACAACAGTCTGGAAGCCTGGACCAAGTTCACTTGGCAGGTAACAAGAACAACCCAAGGAGGAAGTCCTGAAGGATATCAGATACCATACTTACTTTACTCCCATATACTTTTCATTTTAAAGCAGCCAGGATATATTTATGATGCTTTTTGACTGATACCCACCAAGCATTCTGGCTGACACAAACTGCAAAAACTGGCATACTCTAGGGAAGATTCCTTGTGTGGTCTTTAAGCAGTTTAGATGAGTAAAACATTCAGACTACTACTATAATGAACACCTCTCAGCCACTCATAAATTCTTTCATTCCCAGCAATCAAGAAGCAGCTGTTCAAATTCAGGAATCTTCCTAGTGGCAGATCTGAAATACCTCCAGGCTGGCCAGAGAAGCTTCACAACTGCTTTCTTCTCCTTCCCCCCTCCCCGTCCCAGGAGTGCCAACCTGGCAGGAAAAACAGATGACCCAGGAAAGAAAAAAAAAAAGAGTAGCGGATCTGGTGATGCAAACTCCTTTCATTTCCACTACAGAAATACCAACCCTCTGTGCCAACTAACCAGGTTTCTCCTTTCCTCTCCCACCCCCACCAAACATATATTAACTTCTGCAGTCTGGTGCGTCTGGCATTTCCAGAGCTAGGGATCTTTCCAGAGCCCTTTCCTCAATGATTCTGAACCAGGAGCCTCTTTCTGCGCCAGCGTTTGAGGTCCATCCCACGTTAAGATTCAGCTTCCCTTTACTTTGTAACCCGTCAGAATGACGCTGCTCCCTCCCAGGGTCAAGTTCAAGATGAAGGTGCCCTCCTCACTTCCCCGAGTTGACTCCAGCAGGGAGAAGCGCTGAGAACAGTCCTATCACCTGAGGCACAGGGATCTGGGGCTGCCAAGAGTGGGCCGAAGCGGGCAGGGAGAAGACTGTCGCCGAGCCCGGAGTCCTCCGCCCCTCGCCGCGGTGCCGCATTTCTACCTGGCCATCGCCGCATTTCCTCCCGGAGCCTTACACGATAAGTTAGTTTTGAGAATCCCGGTTCAGAGACCTTTCTGCCTGCAAACATGCTACACAATACCTGGGGTTTCCTTCTCAGCCAGCCGTTCTGAAAAGCCGCTGCGCCAAAGCCGGGAGCCCCCCACAATCCCAATGCTGCGTGTCCTCATCCCAAAGTCCTCCAGGGAGAACGTGAGCCCTGACACAGTCCCCCAAAAGTGACCACTCTGCATCCAAGAACAAGGGGCTCACAATCTTGACATAACTCTGGTTTTTCTCAGCCCCCCCCCAAAGTCCTCAATGTCTAATTCTAACTCATCCCGCTCCCCACCCAAAGAGCGTGGATATGCTAATCGCAGCGTTCTTGGAAGCGAAGTAATAGACTTTCAGCCCAGACTGGGGCAATACGACTCCCACCCGCCACCCTACTCCACACCGGCTTAAGTTCGCTCGGCAACTCCGCGAACTGCGCACTCCGACACTCCGGGGGCGCCCTGGACCCCGTGGTGCCAGGCGCGCCTCTCCCCCGCCCCAGGTACCAGGCGCAGCCCAGGCCTTTGCCAAGCCCGAGGGCTACAGAGGAAGCGGGAAAGGGGGCGAGCAGACGCGCCGGGCGGGGGTGGTCCCGAAACTCCAGCGTGCCCCGCGTGTTCCCGGTTTCCCCTACCCCGGCTCCGCTGGAGCCCGGCGCGGTCGGACGCAGAGGAAACCGCGCAGGGAAAGTGCGGACTTCCCAGAAACGCCGAGACGAAGGCCCGGGGCGCCCAACATGTCTGTGCCTATGCCCGGAAAGCTCCCGAAGGGGGGAGGGGGCGCCAGAAACTTTCCCACACGCCTTTCTCCTCTCCCCGGACACCCTCTCCTCCTCTTCGGGACCCTCTCTTCCTCTCTGCTCGCCGGCAGCTGCCCCAGCCCCGGACGTTCGGAGGTCCGCGGCGGCGCCCAGGCGGCGGGACTTACCTGCAGGGAAAGTTTCCAGCTCCTCTGCGCGGTTCTCCACCCCCAGGGCCCGGCCTCGGGGCGCGGCCGGCTCGGCGCTCCGCGGCTGCCTCTCCTCCCGCTCCCGAGGCGGCAGCCGCTCCCGCAGCTGCCACAGCGAGGGCTGCTCTCCGGCCCGTCCCCCCGCCTCACTCGGCCCACAGCCGGGCCTCATTGGCAGCGCGAATCCCCGCCCTTGCGCGTGTTCCCGAAGGCACCTTCCTCTCGCGCGCCCGCCCCGGCCGCGCCTCCCGCGCCCCTCCCCGCCCGCGGCTGCCGCAGCTCCAGGGACGCGCTGTGGCGCGGCGCGCGAACTTTCCGCGGGGCGCGGGTGCGGCGCCTCCCCGCCCCTTCTTTCAGGGCCTGGTCCCGGCGGGGGGCACCCCGGCTTCCCTCGAGGGGGTGGTCCCCGGGCGCTACCCCTGGACCCCTCCGGGACCGGAGTGACATGGGCGATAGTCTTTTTTGCAGCCTCTTTAACATCAGTAAAGTGACCCTCCGCACTACTTTTTAAAAACAACCAAGGAGGACATATGGGAGCAATTAGCCGAGCTGGAGTTTCCGTGGATGCTTTAGGGTGGCTTGTGTGGCTTTCTTGGATTTTCTCTGCCTCAGTTAACTACACATACATACACAGAAATACGAACACACTCAAACACCCTCACTTTCTGGGGCCAGAATGAGCTAAGGGAGAGGAAAGGTGTAAGAAAGCATCTCCCTGGCTGAGCCTTGTTCTTCTCTGAAAGCGAATTAGGGACGTTCAGGGACAATTGATTGACTGGGCGTCCCTGGGGCCCGGGTCTGTAGCCTGCTCTGACCCCTCCCAGCTGGCCGGTACTGTCTGCGCTACATCCACGGAGGGCCGGCGTCGTGCTTCTTTCGGCGGGAGGAGGGAGGCATGGCGGGGAGAGGAGGAAAATACACAAAGATGCTATTATTATGTCGGTTGGTGGCAGTAAATTAAACTCTTGAGTTCCCAAAATGTTTTGTTATTCCTCAGCAGAGCAAAAGCCAGGTTAGGCCCTGGCGATTCGGGAATCCTGGGTTCTCTAGATCCTCCCAGGAGTCCCAGGCAGCCAAAGCGGTCTAGGGGACTCAGCCCACTTCATATCCAAAACCCTCTAGGCCAGCCTTCGTCATGGAAGGATTAACTAGAACTGCTGCTGCCTTGTGTGGCCAGCGGGAATTGTGCACGGGTCACCCCATTGGTGTGTCTGGAGCAGAGAATACAGAAGTTGCTATAAATGGATTTATTGGCAACCCCTAACCTTGCTGTGGCAAACTTGCCTTTAAAGACAACTGTGTTTTAAACAAATTTCCCCATAAAAACTTCAACCTCACGCAGAGCTTTCCAATATAAAGATACCGGCAGGAGGGGTGTCCATATTTAAAGTTCTATGGAAAGGGACTGGAAGCAAAATGCCAATCTCTCTTCATAGATTAAAAACGACTGAAATGTGCTGGGTATTTCACCCACAGATTCAAAAGCCTGATTATTAGTATTGTGTTGATATTGGAGCAGTAAACGTATCAGCAGCCTTGAAGTGTTCCTGAAACAAGGCAGGATATGAATATTTAAAATAAAATACAAACGTATTAAACCAGAAAAGCTATTGACTTCTTTCTCCATTCTGAAATGTTTATTGCTGAAAAATATGGTAATATGTTTTATGTTATTAATTTCTCTTGAAATGCATAAAAGTTACCAATCTTTCAACAGCAGATGAAAAAACCAGACTGCAACCTTAATGATAAAAGAATCACACAAACAAAAGACAAAACTCCATGGTAGTCTAACTAATCTGAAATAGTAATATATGAGAAATAGTCCTAAGGAAATCCAAGGGTGAGGGGAAAAAAGGAAGGCTTCCATTAAGACCAGTTTTGCAAGAAAAAATTATGAAAATTTTCTAAGCATCTTAATATGTGAAGTATTAGCTGAGCACAAGTTCAAAACTGAATTTTAATACTTTTTTAAAAATCTACTTTTCCCTTAAAAAATAAAAGTGCTTTTAGTTAGTTCTTTGGTGATGGTTTGTTTGTATTTTTAGGGGGATGAGAGAGCAGTTTCCTGCTCCAGATTCATTATAATGAGTGAAATGTATAATGGTTGAAATTTATCATTTGTCTCTCACATTCTTCTGTCTTTGGCTCTTCTCAGCTATATTTCCAAATTTTTGATGAAATTGCTTAGTTAAATTGGGCTTTGAAGGCAATGAATTTTTTTTTCCCTCTACCCTCAAAGCTCCCTAAGTAGCAAGTAGAAAATCACATAAATATGTTAATTACTGTCATCAACTTTAAATTATTTTTAGTTGAAAAAATTTTGTCTTTGTAGTTTCAGAAGTCACAGTCACTAAAGAAGTAACTTCATCACTGCCTAGTTAGGAGTGTTTAACATTCTAAACAGGCATACAGCTAGCAATCTGAAATTTGCACACAAAAGGGCCCTGTCTCCCCTTCTTCCTGTAGTGTTTATATAATCCGAACTACATATGTTATATGCACAATCTGATCTCCAGCTTTAAACAGCTAACATTACATAGAGTATGCTGTACTAAGGACATCAAAGCTGTCTTAAGCTGTGGGTGAGAACAGTACATTTTATAAAAGACAAGGCCAAAAACACAAGAGTAAAAAAAATTCAAGGGTAAGGAAAAAAAAGGGAGGCTTCCATTACGACCAGTTTCACAAGAAAAAATATGACAATTTTCTTAGCATCTTAATATGTGAAGTATTAGCTGAGCACAAGTTCAAAAAATGAATTTTAATACTTGTTTAAAAATCTACTTTTCCCTTAAAAAATAAAAGGGCTTTTAGTTAGTCGTTCAGTGATGGTTTGTATTTTTACGAGAAGGAGAGAGCAAGAATAGCTCTGGCTTTTCTGGGGGTATCTCTGCTCATCCCATTCAGTTTAAAAGCTCATTCATCACATTTCTGTTGATACCAACTGGAAAAAAATTAAAAGAGAAATATATATCGCATGAATATTATATGGTGCACACATTCCCCAAACATACATACGATATATTGGATTCCATTTTTAAATTTTCTGTCAGTTTGCCAGCAGTGTAGCTTTTTTCAGCAGAGTGAAAGAAACGACAAATAATAAACTGGTTATTTTACCATACAATTTACTGCCCAGGGCAATAGGCTGAGGAAGGCATGAGAAAACAATGTGCCTTGTGAGTGTTAGTATGCTTTTTTCCCTTGCTCGGGTTCATAAGTACTTCTATTTTAAACCAAGCCTAAGTTAAGATCATAGCCAGTATTTATTATGGTATATGTAGTATAGAATACATAGTGAGAAGTGAAATGTTTAAAACAGTATAGTAATTACATACAAAAACCGAGACAGGACTCAAAAAAAAATGTAAGGCAATTTTTAAGGCAAAATTTAAGAAAATCCAGACAAAACAATTCAGCACACACTTTTTTTCTTCTTTGGGGTATCTTTTAATGTTTATAGAATACATTCTCCTTTGGTCCATTCATTCTTCCTCTCCTTTTTTAACATTTTGGGAAAGAAAAGAATTTTTAAAGATGTGGGGAATAATAAAATACATTGGTTGTAGTTAGAAATTAGCTGGGAAAAGCAATGAAATTACATACCTCCATGCTGTCCGGGCATGTGTAATGACCCGTGGTCACACACGTGTACCAACACCATGGTCAGATGTGGGCTAACGGCAGACATTCATCCAGGGATATGGAAAGCCATAACTGTACACTGTTAGCCAGCCAGTTAAATCAAAGAAGTCGTGGGACATATAAACCCCTCCACAGGTCTAGCACATGGCCTGGCAATATTGCAGAAACTCATCCAATACATGGTAGGCAGTTAATTATTTAAAGCGACAAGGAGTCCCCTGAGTGAAGAAGCAGGGAGATAGATTCCAAGGTTCACATTTCCTTATAAGAATATGGGAATATGCAAAGTCATCTGACTAATATTTTCAATATAGATTTAGCCCAATCTTATGACGGTAGAAATGTCCTATAGGGGGAACCAGGAATGTCCCTTGTTCAGGAAGGGTAAGGTAATGCAATCTGGTAGTAATCCCTTTGAGAAATGTCAGTGAGTCTGGTTAAGATAGTTTAAAAAGAAATGTGATGTTAACTTTGAGTACAACAGATGCATTTTAATATTCTCCACCTTGGGAGTGTCACGTCCCTCTCTTCAGCAAGGTGTGCAAGAAACGGCACTGGCAATGAAGTCATAATATCTAGATGCCAGTTCTGACTTTGTCACTTATTGTTTGTGATTACTGGCAATTCATCTGGTCTTTTTGAGCCTCAGGTTCCTGATCTATGAAGTGAGGAGGATATGTAGAATCCCAGCCTCACAGGTTTGTTAGGAACATTAAACAAAGAAAGGTGGCGGCTGGGCGCGGTGGCTCACACCTGTAATCCCAGCACTCTGGGAGGCTGAGGCAGGAGGACAGTTCGAGACCAGCCTGAACAAGAGCGAGACTCCATCTCTACTAAAAAAATAGAAAGAAATTATCTGGACAACTAAAAATATATAGAAAAAATTAGCCGGGCACGGTGGCACGTGTCTCTAGTCCCAGCTACTCGGGAGGCTGAGGCAGGAGGATCCCTTGAGCCCAGGAGCTTGAGGTTGCTGTGAGCTAGGCTGACGCCACGGCACTCTAGCCCTATCTCCAAAAAAAAAAAAAAAAAAAAACGAAGAAAGGTGAAAACCACTTAATAAATTCGAAAATGCTCTACTAAAGTTCATTTTTATTTAACAGACAATGAACTGTTTTTCTTGGAACCACTTTGGTTTGAATAACAACCTAAAGGTTCAACCAGAGCAGTCCAGAATGCCTACATTTGCACTCTTGAGGAAAAGTGATTTCAAGATGATTTAGTGGTAGGTAATAACTCCAATTAAGCTCTCAGAGACTCATCTGGGGGTAAATTGGCAGTTCTTGTCTCAAACAGTAGCAGTCACAAGAGCAATTTACAGAGATATATTTTTGTCCTGTGTTAGTGTTAAAGGGAAAAAATTATAGTATGTATACAATACAGGCATATCTCACTATGCAAACCAACATAGAAATTCTTAATTACATAATATATTAATTGTAAAGGAAATATTTCCTTTAAAAAATTCTTACTGA